AATAGCAGAATGAAGATTTTTGCCATCAACTAACCGTATTTGCATATCTGAGTATTAAAAATTACTAAAATAACAACTGCACGAAATACTAATTTGCCAACTCCCTCCATTAACCTTGGACACCTCCAAATTACCCAGAATGGTTAATTTCGCACCCTGTGAGAACCACTGTACTAAGTGATGAATTCGCAACTGATATACTTGATTGGCAAGGCACATACCCAGTAAAGTACTCGTTTGTGCATGTGTCGAACTGGTGGTAAGCATAATGGCTTAATGGCTGCGCCTGCGTAATGTGCTTCCACGTAGGCCTTATCGTTGAGCGGTGGTAGTTCACGAACAGCCTCAGGTAAGTAATGAGCAACTGGCACGTAAACTGCAAGAAAGGAAGGTGATCATTAGGTAAATTAGACTTTTTTAGAGGACGTCTAATAGTAAGCATGAAACTGTTGACGGCATTTGATGAGCAATGTTAATCAGTGATTGACGTATCAACTGATTTCGAATTGTGCATATTAAACGAGTTCAGGAGTGATGTTTGCGTGCAATAAATAGACTCTCACCTCCATCGACACTCTTCATACCGATTGTTCCACCCGTATACAAGACCAGCACCCTTGCCTCAGGCATTTCTTGACCAGCCCTCAACTGTGGAATTCCTAACGTTTCCGCTACTGGGAATGCCACATCCGAACGACGTAACTCAGATACTGCTTTTGCTAATGACTGAATATGTAAACGATTCAGATGGATATTTTCATAGTTTGAATAAATTCATAACGATCATTTCATACAAAAAAATGTCTGTGGTTCGAATGTCAGCAATATATAGATTCTTCAACATGTTTCAGTGAATGAAGCAACAGATGACTGTCAGCAGGTTTTATATTGTCAGCAGTAAGATATTGTAAGCAGTAATATATTATATATTGATGCAAATGAGCGCAGGTTTTCTCAGTGTGGATGGTGTTTTCCTTTGGTGAACGAAAGTAGTATGCAAAATTCAGAAGGCAACAAGCTGCGATACAGATGCAAATGAATGAAAATTTCGAGAATTGGACGCCACTTCTACATGCAATATTTGGGTAGAAATTATCATGTAGTATTTCTTAGCCTGTTTGCAAAAGCTTCTGTTTGTTATCAAAATCCTTTGCTGCTATCATGCTTTGCATCGTAACTTGATGAAATTATCACTGTATGCTTGGTCATCTTAAGCGCCCCCATTGAAGCTGCTATGACACATCGTTACTTATGGGTGGAGGGGAACGGTGAGGGAGGATGGATATTTTAGTTGCTATATCAGCCCAGCTGGGCGGCTGGCTGAAAACGGTCGATAGTCACTTCTCCAGGTGAATTTTGCAAAATGATAGAGTCGAGTTGTCTAGATGAAGATTATCATTATTTATACACCCAGTTTGAAATACCTGTGCGGTGGTCTGCTCAGTTCTCGTCCCAGTATGAACATGCAACGTTTTCGGTACATGAGACTCATCTACGAATTGCCCACTGGGAGGCGTTGTGTCTTTGACTATATGAAACGGCGTATAATTACCGGTTTTCCTGAATAAGTTTAACCATGTTGTAGGTTTACGAAACTCCGAAAATGCTTTCAAATTTGAGTATTGTAGAGGCAATCAAG